AATTCACTATGTCCCACTTCTTACTTTAACTCCTTCTGCCTTATGGCATAATTATTTTAACTCCTGGAGCCCAATTTTTACTATACAATATGAAACAATACATAATCCAGAAGAGGAGAGGGGTATGGAGACAAGAGAGAACAATAGTAATATGGAAAGATAACACAAAAGAAACTCTACAACAGCACGACATGTCTAGCATGGAGGTGGTCAGAAGAGCAAGAGCCAGAACCTTGTATCCCCATAAACACCTGAAGCTGTAGAAGAAGAAGTGAAGAAAAAGAAGACTCACACTTTTATTAGTTAAAATTACAAGTTTTTAAAATGAAGGAGTTGATGTAGAATATTTTTGCTACTGAAAGAGTGTAAAGTATCTTTCCTCTATGCATCTGGTGTAATCAGAACAGTCTGTTCAGCCCCTCTCCCCAATGAATCAGTTATTCTAAGAATGGATACTCTTTTTTTTTGTACCATCTAGTTCTTAATTCCATACAACCTTCATCATATCCACTTTTTCATTATGTATCTCATAACCCATAGGTCTAGCAGCAGCAAATCTATCACCCTGCTCGTTGTCTCATACACCAGCTTGTCCTTACTAGAAGAATCCATGACATTCTCCTGATATGGGCCTTATCAAGTTGGCATTGAAATTCATAAAAAATTTGCAAGAAGCACAACCAGCTTTGACACAATTCCAGCCAGTCTGTATCTGTTGTGCTGGACAGATCATGATCTGGCCAATTCCTAAAAAGTCTCATTACAGAATATTTATTTCAAGATAATCTTCAGTGCATGACAAGCATTCCTATATGTGCTCTGATTCCTCGGAAGCATATTTTTTGTCAGGTTTTTACGTCATGCTATTCCCATTTGTATATCTATACTTAAGTCTGAGTTAAAGGGAAATCATTATTCCCATGTTTGAGATCTTCAACGCACACTGTCCATCTCATTAACTATGTCTTCTGTCCATAACGGTCCACTTTCTAAGGTGGCATTGCCTTTCATGCCAGTATGTTCTCGGACACAAATGACACTACAAACTTCTAGTGTCTGTCTTGAAAACTCTGCTGCCATCCACCCCTCTCATTGTCTTTCATGCGAGCATGTCCTGGGACACAGATGACAGCGTAAGCTTCTACTGTATGTCTTACACACTTTGCTGGTTTCTGCACTTGCAAATGAAAGCAGCCCTCTGCAACACAATCCTGTCCTATAATGTAATAAGAACTCCCCAGATCAAATCAGAACTTCTTAGAATGGAACAAGCCTTCTTCTTCTTCTTCTTAGCATTACTGGTGGAAAGTTTTGGTTGTTAATTAGTTTTTGGATTTGATCTTGTTCAAGATCTTACATTTTAAGCGACATTTTATTTTTGTAAACAGATCTGTCGTATCTGTATACAGAGTGTTGGTACCTCACCTGTCAGGCAGATGCACACTAACTTCAAAGGAAACACCCCTAATTATTCAAATTTTATGATATGCTTGTTGAAGGGAAGGTAATGGGGTCCGCCCCCGCCCCATAGGGCCCCAGAACCCACACGAGCAGAACGTCAGAACTGAGTTAAGCAAACTGAGTTGAGAGCCATCATCACAGCACTCAAGTCATTCCTATAAATGATCTGTCTCCCATCTTCACCAGCCAGCTCAGAGTTGCAATTCTGATAGTACTAACTGCAGTTTTATTATCTGATGGCCTTGCCTTTGCTCTGAGTATAAACTCTTTGCCAAATCCCCTCATCACTTTCCTTTGCACTATTCCTCAGAGGACTTCATGTGTGACCTTTGACAACATCTAGATTGATTCAATGAAACTGTTAATTATTTAAAATGTACCTTGAACTAGATTCTCAAGGACATCATCGGTGGCTTGCCAGACCAACTGTGCTAATAAGCCAAAGACAGAACAATCCACTTCACATGGAGTGGACCCCATCATAAACTGCTTGTCTCCTGTTACCAAGCAAAAATTAAAGTATGGACATGAGGCATGATGATAATGAAAATTATGACAATAATGGTAATAAAGATAACATAAATAAGGAGGACATAAACAAAATGTTGTACTATTTACTGCTTTAGCTGAGCTTACCTCCTCCCCTCCCTTCCTTCCCTTTTCTTTTTAAAATGTCCCTGATATGCAGCGAGGATGGTCTGTCGACTAACTATATGCAACTACTGAAACAGCACCACCGAACATTCAACCAACTGCTGTTTTCAGTAAGACTTTTAGACACTGTGGTATATCTTCTCTTCTTCCTTTGTCTTGCTGCTTCTGCTGCATAGCGTCGCAGAGAGGACTTAAGCATATAGTTTCCTGTCCTTTGCTAGTTGCAAGGCTCGTGTTAATGTTATGCTGTGTTTTTGTAGTGCATCTTTTACTCCCTCTACCCATCTCTTCCTTGGTTGGTCTCTAGGCCTGTAGCCTGTTCTCATGTAATAGGCTCTAGCTGCTGGCGGATTTTGTTGCATGACATCATTGAAAGATTTATGTAATAAGTACCTGAAGTCTAAGGACCGATGGTTGCATTAGGTGTTGGTTTATTTAGGTCGCAATGTAATTTTATGACTTCAGTGGGCTATTAATAGAGACATATAATATTCTTCAGGGTTTCAAATTCCTCCAACAGTCTATTTTATATGCATATGTTTTGGGGCAGGGTGCTTACTTGACCTTGTCTGAACTGGAATAGTGTGAAACTGTGGAAATCTAAGTATCTTATGTTACTTTACAGTGCAAAGATCTTAGGATGGGACTAACCTCTCTGTCAAATATGTCTGGAACTACTGTTGTTAACCTAGTATGATATAAAAGATGTTCTTCTTTGCATTCACTGGTTGTAAACTTTAGTGGAAAGTTCTGGTTGTCCATGCAACTCTTAACTTTGGTCTTGTTGCAGAACTTAACTTTTGCATATACATCAGTTTTGTAGATCTACTTTATTTGTATGCAGATCATTGGTTCCTCACCTTTTTAGGTGGGTGAACTCTGACTTCAAAGGACACACTCCTGATTGGTCGATTTTTATGATGAAACACTCCTGATTGGTAGATTTTTATGACATACTTGTTAGGTGATCAGTGGATCTACCCCCCCCCCCCCCCCCCCCCCCCTTTTTTTCCAGTACCCACAGATGGAGCATATCCAAAAAAATTTAAGTAAGTCCATACACTAAAGTTGGTTAGGACATATTCTTCATTGGGAGAGAAATTCATAATAACAAGAATAAGAAGAAAAAGACGAAGAAGAAGAACAAGAATAACAAGAACAAGAAAAGGGAGAAATTACCCAAATAATCAGCCAAGGTCTGTAAGTCAGTCATCAAGATGTGAGTGACTTCCTCTTTGCTGTGTCTGCCGATGCCTTGGTAATACAATGCTTTCTTGCACTGCCGTCGAATCATCCATATAAAAAGTGAGGAATCTGAGATAGATTGTGTGATGATACTCACTGCCTTGTCATAAACCCATCTGAAGTAGACCAATGTCCTGAGGAACAAGAAAGAGCTTCACTGCAGCAGAAAATAGAAATATACAATTAAATAACAAAGACATGTACATATGTTATTATTTTCAGATAGGACAATGTACTGTGAATGAAACAGAAAGGTTTGTTACATGTCAAACTCCCAGATGTGATAATTTACAATTAAATATAAAGATATGTGAACTTATTGAACTTCTGAATGTGACAATATACAATGAATCATCCTCAAGAGAAGAAAAGACTGAACACTTTTCATGTACACTGTTGAGACACATTCTCAGCAAATCAAAGCGAGACCTTGTCTTCAATGAATGCGTACTCAGGACAGTAGAAATGCCAACAATGTACTTTCTACTGAAGTAATGATGCCTTCGCTGACTGGTACAGGTCAACTATATAGTGGATGGTCTAATTCCAAAATGGATCTCCTGTATGTTGAACTGAAAAGAGAGAAAAGATCAGCAGGAATTCTGAGGCTTTGCTATAAGAACATATGCATACTTGACTTGAAAGATCCCAACACTGACTCCAGACACTTTAGGAGAGCTGCAGACTGACTCCTAAGGAGGCAGACAGTGAAAGATGGGCTGCTGTAGTTGGCAAGAGAACTTAAGCAGCAAACTATACAGAGGAGTCATCTAGAATTAAAGCCAGCTACAGTGTGATAATGTATCAATATTTTTATGCAGCCTATGTGGCAGAGACTGCCACTCCCACACAGGACTTTGCAGTCATGGCAGTTGCTGTTCCAAAAATCAGGCACAACTCCTTGGTCCCTAGATATAAAACTGAACGAACAGTAGACCAGTGAGCTTTACAATATAACAAACACACATGGAAAGTGAATGTTGTGGCTACAGAGTCTTTCATCAGCACATTACATAAATTAACAAAACCACAAGTACAGACATGAATACACAAAATTACTTAAGTGATGTATTCCCCATAGCAGCCACGTTGTTGTCCTGACAATGGAATGAAAGACGTGTGTGCTGTCAAGATTAAATAGCTTGAGAATGTCAAGGGGTGTGACTCACGGATATTAGGTGAAACTGTCTTGACAGTTAAGTCCCCTAGACGAATTTGTACCCCAGGTAAAAACAAGAGATGTATTGACTCTGTCACTGAAGTGGCCAGATATAATGGCCGTCACCTCCATGTCGCGGAAACCTTGGTGGTTCAGGGAACTGAAGTGCAACAGTAATGGTTTGAGGGAATCTTTCTGCACATCCAAAAGATGTTACCTGAACCTGTTAGCTAGTAATTGCCCCATGTCACCTATATATTGTATATATCTTTTGCAGATAATGGCGTAAATTACATTGAGGCTACACAGTGAAGTACACATTTGTATTTCATATGACACTTCCAGATTTGAAAATATACAGCTAAAAAGAAAAGCACAAGAAGGAGGGGGAAAAGGAAGAAACATTATTTTACAGATGTTTCATTTACTGAAGTCTGTCAAAAATTTGTTGGAGTGCTCTGTCAGCAAGGATAATATTTACCAGTAGAGATGTTCATCCACCAAGATCTGAGTGGCTTTAGCAACTGCCCTCTGCTCCTTGGTCAGGTCCTTGTTGACATCAACATTCAGTTTCTTGTTCAGATACTCAATGGAGAACTGGGAGTCAGACACAACCTCACCATTGTAGATAATAAATGGTGTCTTTCCCTTAGGGGAGAACCTCCCACTGAAGTCATTCTGGGGAGGATAAATAAATGGTGTTCTGTCTGGTTTACTTTTGCCCTGCTAGACTTCTATCTTAAGGTTTCACTATCCATGTGACTCAAAGAGTCATATTCTGGATGACAGCCCAATAGGGAAATTCCATATGACACCTACATCTTTCAAGGAAGTTAAAACACCCACAAGTACTGTCCAGATGTAAACTGTTCAGATGTAAACTGTCCAGACGTAAACTGTCCAGACTAAACTGTCCAGATGTAAACTGTCCAGATGTAAACTGTCCAGATGTAAACTGTCCAGATGTAAACTGTCCAGATGTAAACTGTCCAGATGTAAACTGTCCAGATGTAAACTATCCAGATAAAACTGTCCAGATTAAACTGTCCAGATGTAAAGATGTAAACTGTCCAGATGTAAACTGTCCAGATGTAAACTGTCCAGATGTAAACTGTCCAGATGTAAACTGTCCAGATGTAAACTGTCAAGATGTAAACTGTCCAGATGTAAACTGTCCAGATGTAAACTGTCCAGATGTAAACAGATGTAAACTGTCCAGATGTAAACTGTCCAGATGTAAACTGTCCAGATGTAAACTGTCCAGATTAAACTGTCCAGATGTAAACTGTCCAGATTAAACTGTCCAGATGTAAACTGTCCAGATGTAAACTGTCCAGATGTAAACTGTCCAGATTAAACTGTCCAGATGTAAACTGTCCAGATTAAACTGTCCAGATGTAAACTGTCCAGATGTAAACTGTCCAGATAAACTGTCCAGATGTAAACTGTCCAGATTAAACTTGTAAAACTGTCCAGATGTAAACTGTCCTGTCCAGAGTAAACTGTAAACTGTCCAGATCTAAACTGTCCAGATGTAAACTGTCCAGATGTAAAACTGCCCAGAGATGTAAACTGTAAAAACTGTCCAGATGAACGTGTCCAGATGTAAACTGTCCAGATGTAAAACTGTAATGTAAACTGTCCCAGATGTAAACTGTCCTGTCCAGATGTAAACTGTCTGTCCAGATGTAAACTGTCCAGACGTAAATTGTCCAGATGTAAACTGCCCAGATGTAAACTGTCCAAATGTAAAGTGTCCATATGTAAACTGTCCAGATGTAAACTGTCCAGATTTAATCTGTGCAAGTAGTTTGCCTTGTACTGTAAGGCTAATATAAAAAAAAAACATACAAAAAGATTAAAAAAATAAAAACATGGCAACATAAAGCCCTTTCTTTCAAGATCTTTTCAATGATCTAAAACAGTGGCCTTCAACCTTTCCCAGGTGCCCTTCCCCTCCCTTTTTTTCTAGTATATGACAAGACAACCCCCCCCCCCCCCTTTCCCTCCCACCCCCTTTCCTCCCTAAACATACCACAATATGATTTAAAAAATGAGGACAAATTTTAAAAATCCTATATGTTAACCATCTGATCTTCTGTTTTTCAATGAATTTGTTGCATGGTGTTGTTCCTACAGTCTGTCTGATATCATTTCTAACTTTTTCTCCTTTGGTTAAGTTGGTGGCTTTTCTCAGGCATCTGATTTCACATGTGTTAATTTTACGTAGGTTAGCCTTTGATAATGTCCAAGTCTGGCACTGGTAGCACAGTGTTGGTATGAATATTTTGTTTATGTTTCTTGGTGCTCATATTCATATTTGGATGATAATAATGGTGTTTGTTGGTATAAAAGTGCACTGGCTCACTGGCATCTTGTTTCTATTTCAATCCTCTGAGAATATATTTCCTAGATATGTATTAAATAGCTTTAGATAGTAAAGTTCAACCTGATATTTAGCGAACTAAATTGTGCTGCGAACCAGTTTTAGAAATTATTTTTATGCTTCTGCATGTTGAACTTGTATCAGTTACCCCTCATTGTAGAACAGGCACTGACCATCTGCAAACAGCAGATCATTTATTGTGTATGGATTTAATTCTTCCTCTGGAATGTAAAGTTCCACATTTATGGATTGACTGTTTCAAAGCTTGCTTCTTTTGACATTCTATGTATATCTATATATAAAAAAATAAATGTTTGTGTGTTTGTTTATGAGCTATAGACTCGGAAACTACTGAACCGATTTAGCTGAAATTTTCAGGATATGTTTGTTTTGATACCGGATGTTTACCCATCATGGTTTGAAATTCAACCTGTCATTGTTAGAGATAGGTGACCACAATTTTTGAAAAATCTTTAAAACTAATATTTCCGTTTTAAGTGACATTTAATTATAGCCACATTAGTTAATGCGCATGCGCCATAGTCAGAACGAAAGACTTCCACCATCGCCGGAGAGATACGTACAGCCAACGCCTTCTCTAATAAATAGAGTAGGTCGTGGTACAGCAAACAAGACTATCTCTATATCTGTGCAGGCAATGATTGCCACAATAACCATATTAGACACGATTTTTATTTTCTGTCTTTTCAAACAACCTTCGATGAGTTGAAGAGTAGCCAATGGGGGGGGGGGGCATCAAGGACTATCATGACGTCTGCGCAGACAATGACTGCGACATTAGTCGTGTTAGACACGTGCCATTTCTATTGTGCCGTTTCAATATTATTTCTAGAATATCTGTCTATGAGAAAACAATTGCCTGCGGTTTTGAGTTGTGTTATAATCGGGACACAGTAGTAGGAACACACATCTCAAATAGTTTTGTTCTCTTTTCGCTGTTCCGATGGAGTGGTTGCTTGGTCGAATGCTTAGAACACTGAGCTCCTGCGCGGGAGACCAGGGTTCGTATCCGCAGTAGTTTTTTTTTTCCCGGGGGCAAAATAAAATCCTCACCTGCACTGTCGTGGCGACAGCACTAGCCATGTGGCCCTTAATACTGAAAAAAAAAAAGGACAGGTATGTGGGTAAACCAGTTGATAATTAAATTTGACCATTTCGCATACTTATGATTTCATTTTAAACTTTCTGATTGCATGGTTACGCTGAAATTTCATAGCTTTCCATTTATTTTTATTTAGATTTAATTATTTTATCTGCGTTGGAATTTTAAGCTGTTGCTGTTTACCATAGCGTTCTTTCCTAATTATGGTGTATTTTTCCTGTTTTCATTGCTTTTCAATTGGATTTTTTTTCTCCCAACTACTTCGGTAAGGGAAAGAGTAGTCTGTGAATTGGTGGGGTGGGGGGGGGGGGGGGGGGGGGGGCTCTTTACTGAGAAAGCTTCAAGTCACAGTAACTGCCCTACCCACTCAAAGCTCAAAGTAGCAGCAGCAGTAGTAGTTGTGGTTGGGCGGTTACACCGTAGTGCTCTCATGCGAAGACCGCCGGTAAGGTTATAGCGTTCTTCTGTCGGGGAGCGAAATTATACATCCTAACCTGAACAGTCCGTGGTGACAGCACTAGCCATACGGCGTCAAATCTTCTGGCTCACGACTCCCTGTCTACTCCGATGGTAAAACAGATAGCAGTGACATTATTTTAGCTATTGTGGTGGTGGTCGTGGTAGTAGTTGTACTGGTACTTGAAGGGTGATGTTGTAAATATTACACTAGCCCCATTTACTACCTATTACAATTCCTGCTCCCCATTTTAGTCCGGATGGACAGGGATGTCAATGTAAGTTAAAAAAAAAATAACGCCAAGTGATGATTTTCAAATCCTTCGAAGAGGGAGAGAGCAGTAGTTGGTGGATGGGGGGGGGGGGGGGGGGGGGGGGGGGGGGTAATGACTGAAATTGTTAACTTAAAGAGCTTAACATATGATTTTAAAGTTTTCATTAGTTAATTTGTTTATTTTTTCTAATGCCCCTCCGCTATTCTAATTTTTTTACGACTTACTTTGTTATTTACAAGTACAGTAGTAGCTTTACTTCCGTCTCCTATAAAAATACAAACAGCTTTAGCATGTGATAACCAAATAACAATTTTTGTTAAACTGCTTATAACACCATTTAAACGACCACTAATATAAAGACACAATTATATGGTGAGTAATCTAAAGTTGGAAAACAAGACTATCTCTATATCTGTGCAGAGAATGATTGCGACATTAACTATATTAGACACGTGCAATTTCTATTGTCTTTCTTTTCCAAAAACCTTTTAATGAGGGAGAGAGTAGTAGGTGGATTTAGTGGTGGTGGGAGGGAGGGGGGGGGGGGGTCAAAGACTATCTCTATATCTAAGCAGACAATGATTGCGACAATAACCATATTAGACATGTGCGATTTCTACTTTTTTTCTTTTCCATTTAGCCAAACTAAGCCACAGCAATGCATGGCCGGGTACAGCTAGTAGTAGATAAAAGAAACTATAATTCTGAATTGTATGACACTCATATTATTGTTAAAATCAATATAAGGCAGTCTGCTCCCCAACCATTTGAAGCGGACCTTTAACCCTGCTGTGTTAGAACTGTCAGATGGAGTTCAAAACATCACTACAGGCAAAGACCAAAACATACACACAGAGAAGAGAATTAGAAACTGAAAGAAAGGGTGCGATAGTTGGCTGAGGGCCTCTGCGTATGGAGATAAAAGTCAGAAAAAAAATATCTTCTTCTTCTTCTTCATCATCTTCTGCTTTTTCTTCTTCATCATCATCCTCTTCTTTTCTTCTTTTTCTTTTACTTCTTCTTCTTTATCATCATCTTCTTTTTCTTCCTTCATCTTCTTCTCCTCCTTAATCATTATCATCATCTTCTTCTTCTTTTTCTTCTTCCCTATCATCATCTTTTTCTTCTTCTACTTTTTCTTCTGCTTCTTCTTCTTCTATGTTCACCCTTAAAAAGACAGCTGGCATGTTTTGTTGTGGTTTAAATTAGGCTGTGATATCTTTGCCTTTCAGCCAATACCTCTGATTTCATTAACTACTTATGAGTTGCCTTTTATGATATGCTTTTTAGTTGTATAATCACCCCCTTCTCCCTTTTCCAGTAGGATCCCAAATCCACATGGAAGGAAGGAGTATTTGATAGTATGAACATTTTCAGTCAATGAAGAGAATGAAGGTTTCCAGCAGACTGTTATGTTTTCTATTTGGGCTAGAGTTTC